TTGTTTATTTGATTTTGTGTTTTTTTCCGTTTTTGCCCTTATGGGTGGTTAGTTGCTATTGTAGCCCAAGGGGCATTTTAGTCTTTCGTTTTCTTTGTCATTGGGAGGTCTATTTATATGGCCATTCTCTTGTAATAATTTAGTTTTGGATGAAATGAAAAATTGCCGCTTATGATCTCTTTGTGAGTTCCCCTCCTCTCTCTCTCAAATCTCTTAGTGAGTTTTGAGAAGACATTTGTCTCCTAGTGGCATCGCTCGGTTGATCTCAATCTTCCTCCATTAAAAGTGCCACCAACAAGAGAGTGAGTGAGAGACCCAAGGTGAGAGTTCTATTTGTTAATTGTGGATTATTGTTTCTCCCCATAGCATTACTCTTTAATTCTATGTTGTCAATTTGATATTGTCCCGTTAATCTAGTTTTAACCGCATGCCTTACTTAATCTTGAATTGATAATTCTGAAAACCTAACTTGGGTAAGCATTAATTCTATAACTAGCAAAGTTTTAAAATCTTATATTAAAATCCCCAAGCAGTTTTCGTTTCCATCGCATGTTGTTTCACATCACACGTCCTTACTGGCAGGAGACAGAATGAGAATGAATCTTAGTGATATGCTCGATAAGACATTAGCTCTTTCTGAGCTAAATTTATTTTTTGAATTGTCAACTTCGGCAAACTGTTGTGGATGGTGGATGGTGTTTACTTTAAGTGTTTGATAATTAGTTTTAATTTTAAATATTCTTGAGTTTTGGTACTTTGGAGTTTTGAATTTTATGGGCATTTAAAGGCATCTTAAATGCTTGTGATCCCCTCTAATTAAGATTTTTATTCAACACAGCCATCATCGAGGTATTCATACGTTATTTCAAAATATTTGTATTTTGTAAAAGTTTGAGTACATTTGAAAATGTATGATCCACTTCAGTTGAGATTTACATTCATTGAGGAGTTAATAAACATTTTGTTTTGTTGATTGAACCTTGTCGACTATGTTCATTTGTCGACAAATGATCGGTTAGAATCTAAACTTATTTCTTGACCTGTGCAACATCCTTAGTCGTCACGTGTGTACTTTAAACATGCTCTTCGGGACCCACGCGGGTATATGTCGTTAGATATATTTCATGCAATACATTCATGCTTACACTGTATGATTTTTGAAATGCAATTGCAGTGTCAAATTACACACTAGAGCAAAACTCTCTGCTCATTACAAATACATGCCAGAGGAAGTTTTTTTTTTTTTGAAATGCACTTATAATGTCAAATGACATACTAGAGTGATATCCTCTCCATCCTACCAATGCATACAAGAGGTCATTTTGAAATGCAATAGCGTCGGTTCAACTGGTTAACCATCGAAGCGGCTCCGATTTGGCTGAACACCAGTTTAATAAATAATTTTTTTATTTAAATAAATTTTATAATTATATTATATTTTATTAATTTAAATATATTTTTAAAATCATATGTTTATGTAAATAAATTTAATCAGAATATAAAACTGGTAGCTTGCCACATCATGCAACTTTACTTTTTATTTGTGGTTTATGTGTTACACTACATAAAGAAAACAACTTAAAATCCCCCTATGATATGGGACTAAAAACCTGTTAGAATTTTGCATGAGCTTAAACTATCAAATATTCAAATTGCTTGGGATACAAATTTGGGTTAAAAATGCATAATTTTTTTATATTATATTACTATTTTTATTAAAATTTGTATTTATATTTATACAGTTATATTAAAAAATTTTAAGTTTAAGACCTACTTATTATGCATATAATATATATATATATAATGCATTCTTAGTTAAAATTTTAATTATTACCTAATTTCTATCATATTTAAATAATTTTAGTATTTATTACATCTTCCGGTTCGACCTCAGTTGAACCATCAAACCGTAAACCTCTCCTTCTTCTGGTTCGTTGATCGGTCTGGATTTCACAACCCTGCTCAGAACACAGAACTCAGCCATATCTCGACCTCCAAACAATAAACCAATCCATTTCCCAATCTTCTATGCCTAATCACCCCGGTTAGCTCTGCTAGCCAGTTTCTCCCTCAGCATGAAAAGCAATCATAAGCCGGCCATTGCAAAGGGGATGCGGGATAAAAGAATATATTGCTAAATATGTCAGGGAAAAGTCATTAATGTGAGTAGCTGAGCGAAAAGATATTACTGACTCCATTTGAAAAATGGCAAGAGCGTTCCGTAGGGAAGTGTAGGACGATACATGGTATTGCAAGGATAATTATGAGCAATAGTAAATCTGCAGTAGAAAGGATATGTCTGAAGGATATGACAACAGGAAATGAATACAGGTAAAAGGGAAAGCAGTAAAATTTATAGAAACAATAACAGTTTGATAGCTTGAATCCTATAACAACTTTGGTACTTCATAAGTTGCAGTGGAAGGTGAGACTTATTCACAAATTATGGAAGCCAATTAAACAAAACACAGCACCAACTTTTGATCAAACCATATGACCAGCTAATCTAGTTTGTAGGCATATACTTGTACAAGAAAAATCTTAAAGGTCCAAAAATCAGTGACGCTTCAAGATGAGATGCCCACCAGTTAAGTTGTATTCATTCTTAGACACATGTAGTGGGGAGAATGACAACTTTCAAAAACAATGTTTTGAAAGCTCCAAAGATAAATTAGCAGCATATATATACCACTGCTCTGAAATATTACATTGCCTTCAATTTTTGGCGACAACGATAAAGTAATTTCAAGTAAAAATTGAGAGATTTATTAGGAAATGATCTTATAAAAATGTAAAGCAATTCTTTAAAAAAAAAAGTAATTATTAATATGCATGAAGGGCATGCTAATCATGCCTTAGCTGTAAATAATACAATTGTACTTTGATCATCAATCATAGATCTATCTTGGTTGTCGATAGAAGTATGTTAAGCCATGGCTGCCAGGAGTAACTTATAACTATACCTTAGTTGTAAGCGATAGTTAGGTGACTGTCTTCATTATGAGTGACAGCATGTTAATCATTTTAGTTGGTAGACATTAAAGATATTCAACTTTTACCAGACTATAGGATATAAAAAAATAACAATAGTTATATTAAATATGGATGAAGGATGACTCTAATTTCTGGACATTCAAACAAATTAATGAAGAATCAAGTGCATAAATAATAAAAGTAAACTACATGAGTAAATATTTATTGTTCTCAGTTTTCACTATTAGGATTTCGTTCTTGTATGTTCAAAGCTTTACTCCCATTTCAACTTGTAGCTACGAAACTACCAATAGTAATATCAACACCACTGTTCAAAAATATTATCCTGCCGTAGTTTTTGGCTGCAACGATAAAGTAATTCAAGAAGACATTGAGAAACTTGTTAGGAAATGATCCTACAAAAATTTAAAGCAATTCATTGTAGAAAAAGGAATTTTTAATATGCATGAGAGGGTGCTAATCATGCCTTAGTTTTAAATAATAAAGCCATACTTTATCTTCAGTGATAGTTCTTCCCATCTTTATTGTCAAAAAAGGCAAGTTAAATAATGGTTGTCAGCATTAACTTATAACTATGCCTTAGTTGTCAGTTAAAATCAGATAACTAACTATCTCAGTTGTCGATGATAGCATCTTAATACTTTTAGCATTGATAAACTTTAGAGATATTCAACTTTCACTGGATTGTTGGAGATCAAGAATTAATAACAGTATAGAATATTAAGAAATAAAGATAACTCTAGTTGTTGGGGATCCAAAAAAAATTATTGGTAGATCAAGTACAATTATATTGTATTAATGTAAATAAATATTTAAAGTAAATTGTATGAGTAAATATTTCTTCTTTTCTCTTCTCAATGGTTAGGATTTGACTCTCAAATTACCAAGGTCTTAGAAATCCCTTATAGACTTGCAGCTACAAAACTACTATACCGTTGTAGAAAATATTATCTTACCACCATTTTTTGGCAACAACGATAATGTAATTCAACTATACATTGAGAATTTTATTTGGAGATGACCTAACAAAATTTAAAGCAATTCATTTAAACAAAAGGAATCTTAATAAGCATCAAGGGGGTGCTAACCATGCCTTATATTTAAATAATACAAATATACTTTGATTGTTACTAATATTTCTTCCTATCTTGGTTTTAGATAGAGATCTGTTAAGCCATGGTTTTCGATGATGGTCAGGTGACCGTCTTGATCGTTGGTGATAGCTTGTTAAAGATTTTAACTTTGGTGGGCCTTAGAGACATTCAAATTTAAATGAATTGTAGAAGATAAAGGATTGATAATAGTAATATAGAATATGATGCTAGGATAACTCCCGGTACTGGAGGTCTAATATATTTTGTTGATAGATCAACTATATTTATACTTGTGTGCAAAAATAGTGAAAAAAGATACTGTACGAGTAATTATTTATTCTTCTCTCTTCTCATGGTGTTAAGATTTGGTTCTTGGATCAACTAAGCCTTAGAACCCCCTTCTCAACTTATCGCTATGAGACAACCTACAACAATATATACGTCACTGCTCAAAAAGATTATCTTGCCTCCAACTTTGACAACAACAATAAAGCAATTCAACAAGACAATGGCATCCAACTTTGACAGCAACAATAAAGCAATTCAACAATACAGTGGAAAATTTATTAGGAAATGATCCTAAAAACATTTAAAGCAACTCATTCCACACAATAAATTCTTAATATGCATGGAGGTGATTTGATAAATCAAATATTATGTAAGAAAATTCTTTTGCTACACATTTGAAAATATAAATCATGATGTTAATAGCAAAATGAAAGATAAAATTTACAAGGACATCAAACAAGTTACCAAATTGAATTCAAAATATTAAAAATTGAAGAAATTCAATTGCACTTGCATCCAATGCAATCATAAGTGGGGCATTAAAGAAAATTCTTACAGATATAATACAAATTATAAAAATAAGCATCAAACAAAAAAAATTTGGCAATAAATGCAGGTGCTTACTTGGACCAACTACTAGCTTGATCTGTTTCAAAAGCATGCACAGCAGTAGATTTGTTTGGACTACTATAGGTAGCTTCACTCAGAGTAATAGCATCCATAAGATTAGAAGGTAGCAAACGATCATCCCCATCAACTTGTAAAGTAGAACGAAAGGGTGAATTCTGCCGCCACATGCCACTTCCATTCAAACTATGACCAAGAGGACTATATGTCCCACAAGTCTGTTGGTGGTTACTAGTATGAACACGCTGAGTAGTGTGATTCTTAGAGATTGGTGGCATTATAGGCTTGTGGGGCAAAGAATGCAAGACATCCTGAAGGTGAGAATTGTTATGTACAACGGGTGAAAACAAATTGGCAGGACAACCTTTCACACCCAGCCCTTCCTGAGCCCATGGACTGCTCCACATTTGCCATGTGCTTTGTTCATGCATATTAGTCGATACATCTGACCTAGGAATACAAAATAGTTGGTCAGATTTGGTATGAATTTGTTCAGGAACATGTAACATTGACAAGGGAGATTCATTAGGGGAAGGCTTGTTCACTGCTGCAGAAGCATAAACACTCCTCAGAAGTGGGGATTGTTCAGCCTTGGTCATTGTACTAAATTCAGCTTCCAAATCCAATGGAAAATTATCAAGTGAATCTGACACAGGCCCTAACAATGAGATCGGAGCTGGAACATAGCATGAGTTTTCAAATGACTCTGCATCTTCTGACACTGAACCCTGTAATGGTTCTTTAACCGGAGAAAATGTTGTTTCAGGCACGTTATGAGAAATTGGATTGCTACTAAATAGAGTACTTGTGGGAGAATAGGCCCTGAATGGTGACGCTTGCCCAACTTGAACTTGGTTATGAGTTGTGCCGTAACTGGGTAGAAAATTTTGGTGGGATTTTTGATCGCCCGGACCTAATAATCTTTCAGGTTTGTCCACATGAGTAGTAGAATTTGAATCAGGATGTGGGAAAACTGCTGAAGAACGAGTAAACAATTGTTTCCAGGACGTTTTGAAACCCGTTTTTTGTTGAACATTTGTGGCTGCCTGGGAAAGGAAAAGAAAAGGCAAAAAATAATCAGCATCTTAAATTCAAATCTCCATGAAATTGGAGGGAAAACACAATGATTTAATAATATCAGCAAAAATGGTGTGAATAAGAACGCACAGGTTGACTCAAGTTGGCATTATGAGCTTTTTCAAAGGCGCTAGACATAGATTTACCAGCAACATAAGCCACAGGGTGAGCATCTCTTCTTTTTACTGTATTTTGAGCATGGTCTATGAACCCAGCGGAAGGCTTAACTGACTTGGCAACAGCAGCAGATTTTTGTGTGTTTCTTCCAAAGAAAGATGAACCACCAAAGCCTCTAGAAGAAGATAACAAAGAACCTTTCATGCCATCAAAATATCTGGGCTTATTCTCCCAGGCTTTACTTCCATGAAAAGCATATGATTTATAATTCCCCCCCATACTCTTCTGCAAATCAAAATTTTCATTCTCACCCTTCTTCATAGTCTCCTGTTTCCTTTCACTTTCCCTACTTGTCCTCTTTTCAAGCTCTTCATCCACTGAATTACTCCTACAAGATGCTCTGTCTTTGTCCTTCTTTCGTCCTCTCCTCCTATCAATTTCCTTTCGACCATCTCCATCCCCATCAAGAATTGAGCCCTTTGAACCCTTCTCAGCAACCATTTTCTCATCACGGAGTTTCCTTCTCTCCTCTACCAGCCTTGCAACCTCTTCCTTCTGCTTCCTCTCTTCCTCTTCCATCATTTCCTTCTTCAATCTAGCCTGTCGCTTCTCCTCTGCCTTCCTTCTAGCCTTCTCCTCTCTGCTCTCCTGGAAATTACCAGAAATCTCCCCTTTCCTTGATGACCCTTTATGATCGGAATCAGAAGATATATCTTCCTTTGAGGAACCAAACCTGAAAAACTTACCAAGAAGCCACCTCATACTCGAGGAAAAAAGGGACAGCAGCTTGCAGGAAAACACCATCACCCCAGAATAAGATATATTTGAACACCGATGATCACTTCCAGTCCAGTACGTTGGAACGGTGCCGACTAAATTGCAATTTCCATCAGCATCACATAACCAACCATGCTTCCCAACAAGATCCGTAATCAGTCCAGGGCCTGCTGTTGAAACAGGAAGGTCAAGAACCGGTTTTTTGGAGATGTGACCACAGTATGAGCACAAGAAACGGCCACCACAGGGGGTCTGGTTACGGTAAGGCGTGTGGCAATTTCGGCAATGACGAGTGGCAGTTTTACGGAGTTTCTGAAGCTCGAGAGCCTCAGCGCGGCGTCTCTCACGGAGGCGGGCAGCACGGCGAGCCCGCCAACTGGAAAGTTGGGGCATTAAGATTTCATACCAGAATAGAGTGGCGAGGAGTACTGCCACACAGGCAAGCCGTGGTGAGGTTATCTCAAAACGCAGAGCCGGCGGTAGGAGCTGTGAGAGACCCCAGAGAAAGATAAACGGGATCACAAGCCAAGGTAACATGGTCGCGACCCGCCGAGACCACCTCTGTATCGCGCAGAGTATACACATTATCCGGAAACTCGATGAATTGAAGCAATCAACGAAAGAAACCCTATAGGTAGCGCAGCGTGAACACGTCTGTTAAAATATAAATATTCAGCGCCTTAACCTCTTTCCAAAATCGTAACTTCCTCTGTTCTTCCAACGTAAAAAAAGGGGATCGCAATATCGCCAACACCAATCAAAACAAAAAGGCCTATCCTTCGACTGCTTGGAGAAGGAACGGGTCGATTAGGGTTTCTTCAGTCCTACGAAGAATTTAATCCTGCGGCGCGGAAAATCGTGGCCGGTTGGAGAGGACGGACAGGAGCAAGCGAAGAGGTATTTGTGTCTTACGTATTCAACTTCGTCCTTAGATATAACCCTAGTCCCTATCTTTCGCGGGTGGTCCGCATTCATGCTTTCATCAGAGGAAAACGACGGGACCAGAGCGATTGCCGTATTTATTTTCTTGTTATCCGCCGGAATAAAAAATTTGTTCGTAAATCTAACCGCCGGTCCGGGAGAAATGATCTGGTGCGGCGTCCGAACTTTAATTTAGTTTGACACGTTGATTTATCACGCCAAAAATTATTTGCAGATTTTTTTAGGTCTTGTCAGTTCGATTGATCAAAGGATTTAAAATTAGCACTTTTTAAAGAGAAAAATCCGTAGAAGCTCTCCAATATTAAATTTTTAAAAAATTTAAATTGATTTTATAATAATTATTTTCCAGAAAATTTAAAATTCTGTCGAAAATCCGACTGAAATTCTACCAGAAAATTCGGCCGAAAATATGTAAGAAATACCACCAAAAAATATGTCGGTAATACGCCGGAAAACCCACCGAAAATATTCCGCCGGAAATTTGTCGTAAAATTCGTTAGAAATTCTAACGGATTTTTATTCGCCGAAAAATTCACCGAAAATCAACCTTTTTTCCTATAGTGTGACCCCTAATTATAAAGGACTGCAGAGGAATGTGTCACAATTTAAGCAACTCATAGTTCAGTGGGACATTCTGCTTGAAGGATGTGAACTTAAAAAATTGGTAGATGTTTATCTTTTTAAAGTCTCCTCGACATCTTTGTTTATTATCTCGACAAAAGTGTCGTTGATGGTTCTAAATGTTGACCCATAGTATCCATAAGTAAAATGACAAACATAACTCTGTAAAAATCACACAAAAAATCAATAAATAAACAATAAATGAGGATTAAAAATGCAACAAAAAGATACTCATCAAATATGCAACCAATGCGCAGAAGAAAATATAGATCTAATATTTAGGCAATACAAAGCTAATATGCATCCAGTACGCAACCAATACTCAATAAACTATATAAACCATAAACCATAGAAACAAATCAAAAATGAATTTTCTAAAGAAATTTGTTAACTTTACGTAGTTGTAACCAGTTTTTATGCAACTCAAATGCATTTCATACGCTGCTACGCAACATATACACAGTTATTTCACAGTTCATACTCAGTTATTATGCAGTTCATACCCAGTTATTACGACATGCAACTACACTAAACTCTAACAACCCTAAATGCAAAAAAAGTTTATCTTTGAAGACAAGCTGAACGATAATGATGTAGTTACCTTTTTGGAAGGTGAAGCCATTGTGGTTGAACAAGGTGTGATATGTCTGGAATGCAGAAGATGCGAAGAGGACAGAGAATGTCGAAGAACAATAGTGAACGCGTAGTTGAAAAGTATTCCTGCTCCAAGTCTTTTGATCTCCCCCAAATTCAATGAAGAAATTATTTAAATTATCAGGCTGAGCCAAGTTGGTTGGGCTAACAAGACAACAAAAATGCAAATGATTTTCCACGTGTTAAATCCACATGTGAGGATTTAATTAGTATCTGGACGCAGAACTTCACTCGAACTCTGCACCAAATAATTTTTTTCTTGTCCGGTTATTATAGACGGCTTCGTTTTTTTTCTTTAATGAAGTGAGAGCCCAATTGCTATGTATATTTTTATTTCAATTTTTACAACAATTATTTTAATGATTACATATAATATATAATTATTTAGAAGTTTTGTCATAAATTTCATGATAAATGACTTCACAATTTCAGTATAGTTTCTAAAATTACAATAAATATCTTCATAAATTCAATATTTAAATATTTTTAGCACATTTGGGAACAAATATTTTCATTACGATCTAAATACATAGTAGAGAGCTAAAGTGATCTTTTGCTACAATTTTCAAGATAAAAGCTCAAAAAAGTTCAAATTAAGGTTTTGTTTGGAACTGCTTCTTAAAGCAATTTTTTAGTACAAAAAATTTAATTTGTGTGCAAGAAAACTGCTTTAAGATGCAACGAGAAAGTCATCCCAAACGAAGTCCAATCAATAAAAGAGTATCATTACCATATTAACTAACATTCAAATTCATCATACTACGCAGCTCATCTTAATATGTTAGGAGATTATGCTACCAACTAAGAGGTCTTGAATTTGAAACTTGTTTATGTGATATGTGTATGAATTTATCTCAACTGACCTAAAAAATATTCGTTATACTTAATTTAGTCGTCAACTTTCCTATTAAATGAATATTCAATATTTTTTACATAAGTTCCTCACATAACATTTGGCAATCGATATGTTCCAAGCATTCGACAAAACAATTAAATTGTAATATTATAAGACTTTGTTTTTGCCGCCTCACAATAATTTACAGTCGGTGTGATAAGGCGGCAGTGTAATTTAGCTTTTAGAATATTTTATTGCAAGAAATTTATGATTTATATGTTAAAAACAAAATAAATAAATAAATTCTTAATTGCATGTACACGTCCTTTTGCTTCTTGCTTCATGGCACTAGAGATCTTGCATGCAAAACATAATAGTTCTTTAAGATGTGAATTGAAGATTGACATGTGTTTGTAATAGATATTGCTAAAGAAAAAGTGGAGAGTGATGATGGCCGTCGCGCCATAAAAATCGGACGGCATCAATTGGTTGATGTTTATCAGGCGATTATGGTCAAGAGACGACAGTCACGTGATGGCGGTTGGACGAAGATGATCAGGAGAAGATTGACGGCATCAATTGTAGACGACTAACATTAGGAAAGGCTCCCGTTTTCTGTAGAACTCCAAACTCTCCCCAATTTAGTCCAACCCTCTTTTTTATATGAGAATGAAGATCTATTTATAATTTTTGAAAGTGATATTTTTTATAAATCTGAGCAAAATCTCATAACACTCCATGAATGAACATTGTTAATTTCTTTGAGCCCATACCATTCTTTCATTATTTAAATGTATTAATATCATCAAAATTGGGTGATCTTGGACATCGGATTATTTAGGCAACACACAAAATTTGATGATTATTTGGTCCTTAGATTAATGTCCTGAAGTTTCAAATTAAGCTTGAAGCACCTGTTTTGAGCTTATTTGGACTCGGATCAAATCACTTTTTATGTCATTGAGTTCAATTCATCAAGATGTTCAGTTCAACGATAAGTTTATTGAAATAAAAAATTAGATAAAAATTTAAATAAAAATTTAGTTTATTGAAATAAAAATTATAGTGAAATATATGTTTTTGATCTGATGTCCAAAAGACATGATTGATATGCCTAAACATTTTCAAGCTGAACCTACATAATGGATATCATCAAATTTGAATTTGTTTGAATTTGATGGAGTGACTAATGAAAAACAACATTTAAAATTCGAGAATATGTCTCGCTAAATGGAAAGTGATGCACTTTGGACTTCGGAATGCTACAAACACATTTATGAGACTGATGAGCAAATGACTTAAATCCTTTCTAAATAAATTGTGTGACTAACTTAGGTTACATTCTAATTTTTTATCAGTATACATCACACCATCTAAACTTTCTTAAATTATTGCTAAATACCTACAATATAGTAAGCTTTATATCAATATATCAAAGTGTGAGTGTGCTGCTTCTGCTACTCCTGGGATTTATTATTAAAGCTCATGATATACAAGCAAATCCACTAAAAAAGTGAAATTAAAAAAGTCAATCATGGCCGACTCGGACCCTCATTGAAGTGTGAAGCTTTCATGGACTCACCAACTTGAGAGATTATTAGGTGCGGAGTGCGGACGGGGAGAACTGTCCGCACAAGCATTGAGTACCTAGCGATACCTGCACTCGATACCGTTGGGTCTGCTAATTACAGTACGTGTGCGGACGGTGATATTTTTTTCCCCAACTTCTATAAACATTTCATGTGAAATGTCATCTCCATGATATCACATATAATGAATTTCTTAAAATAGAAAAAGTTCATGTGGGATGAAGCTCTCAAAGGCAGAGCTTCTTAGACATAAAAGCGAAACTCTATGCTACACATGTATTGATTATTTCAAGCATCAAACTACCATTCAAGCTAGAAGTATAACACTAATTAATTTTTACTAATTCTGGACAGTGATGTATTATCTTATATTTTAATAATTTTATATTTTTGCATTATATTTTGGTTAATCAATTAATCAAAATTATAAATTTTTATTTGATTGAGGACAAGCAAGAGTTTAAGCTGAGGATGATTTGATAAGTGTAAATAATATTATATTTTATGTATTAATTTATCTGTAAAAATATATTATTTTAGTTATATTTATGCATAAAAATACAGGAAATGAGAAAATTTTTAAGTGCTGGAGCCGCTGCGGCGTCAGACACAATGTCGCCACAACGACATCATTAACACCGCCAGAGTGCCAAAAATGTACACATGGAAACACCCAGTCTATGTCTGGACAGCACAACAACGCTGGATGGGTCAGTGCCGTAAAGCCCAATCTCTGTTTGTATAGCACTGCGGCGCCAAAAGTCGGTGCTGACAAGTCAAGGAAGTGCCACATAGACGTCGTAGCACTCAATCATCAGCAACGTTGCAGTGTTATAGTTGTAACCATTCATGACACATTCTATCAGTGAAGCGACGTGTTGATTTCTTAAATAGCATGTCCATGTCACCAAGCAGTGTAGCTAAGGAAACCCTTCAGCGTTGCAGCGTTAATTCATTTTATGGGCGCCGCGACACAAATGTCTCGAGGACTGTAATGACAGAAATTTTTTTTTTTTCTATAAATATCATATTTGTAATGTTTGTAAGGGAGTTCATTCACTTGGTAAAAGTCAGACTTCATAGCGTCTCTCTGAAATTTTCTTATGAGTGATAACTAGGGAATTTGAGGGAACGCTGGATCCACTTTTTTAAAGTGTTTGGTCAATATTTTTAGAAGCAATTATGTATGTTCAAGGAATGTAGATGAGATTGTTGAACCATCTAGTAATATATTTTTTATGTACTCCATTTCTTTTATTCTATTAATGAAAATGAGTTTACTTCATTTGTTCTTCATGCCTGGCTAAATTCACTAATTTTGATTTCATGATATAAATTAAATATGGAGTATTAATAATTTCTCTTAATCTTTAAAGTGATGATATAATATTTTCAATATACCA